TGACTAGATTTCAGGCCAGTCGCGACTTGGTTGCGACAGCTGCCTTCCCCCTGTCTCAGCAGATTCAAAAGCAGGGACTAACTCAAGGTACTGTTGTTCAACGAACCCTTCCAACATTTTAACATGTCCTCCTGTGACTTTCCACTGTTCATTTGTTTTTGAACATGAGATGAATTGCTCTTCTATTTATTTTGATCGTCTCACTGTTTCCTAGGCGCCGGTCGAGGAGCTTGCCGGGATGTGGCAGCGAGTCCGCACCTAGACTCGGGGAGCCACAAATGGGAGTTGGATTCCAGCTTAGGACCGTGGGGAACAGTCACCATTTGCATGGTACGACCTCCCATTCATGCACCGGCGTCCCTAACTGGACACCCCCACACCCTGTGGGGAATCACATTTCGCCGATCACCCACTAGTCCACCAGAGAGGGTGAAGCCAGAGACAACAGCAATTTGAATCTTATTAGACCGTGACAACTGACGCTTCGTTGTGTCGACATTTCGTCCACTACCTTTTGATTCACTGACATACGAATTGTCACCCAGTCAAAACTCCCTTTATGTCCCATCAAATACTTCAGCCAATCAACAATACCGTCTTCTTTTATCAAAGCAATAAACTACAGCTTCTGCGGCCGTTTTTCAGCCGCTTGCTCGGCTTCGCATATGAAACACGTTGGTTGAGCTTCTGAACATCTGCTGTCGCTTGATGATGCGTTTCTGCCGCTTTCTCAAAATTCTTGACAGCCCTTTACACACCCAGTATGGTTATATCGTCCCCTTTGCTTTCCGGTGGAATCTGAAGTTATAGAGCAAAAATGGGCAGATTTGTTCGCTTGGAGTCAACGCAACTGATTCCGCCTGCACCGGTCAAAGTTAGCACGTTCAAGAATAAGAAAGCGAAACATCTGCAGCTGTGACAAATGTGGCCTCAATGGCAGTTCGACCTTCGTGACCGACGATGTCCCCCGTGTGCTCGACAACTGGGTGAGAACAGCGACGGTGACTTGCGCATGATAGTAGACGTGCGCAGCATCTACCGCACTCTCTCCTCGGTGTCAGAAGTGAAGAAGACCGGAGGCGGTAGAGGACGCAGGTGGCTGGCGGGGTGTAAACCCGCACCTCTACACACCACCACATACCCCGGTCCGCAACGGACACTAACCAGGACTTTTTACAACAACAAGAAGGGTGGAGGTGTGGCTTGGATCTTGCTTTTACGACATTGCCGTTGTGGTCATACTAAGAAGGAGACATTGAGCGTGACTCTCAGTCCACCAGTCTGCTACTCTGCACCCACACGGGACTAAGTGTTTTGAATCGTCAGTTGGCAACCTTCCAAGCCACGGTCTTTAGCGCACTGTGATAGCTTCAAGTGCGTCAGTTTGTTTATAGTGAGGAAACTACGTTGAGACGTCGACCTCATTCTCTATTCCCATTTCCAGGCCCCACCCACTGTCCAAGCCGGCCAGTTGTCTGGCGCGCGGAATGGACGCAATGTTCACGCCCACACATTCATCTGAAGTAAATGATTCAGGTGAGAAGGCCAAGTTTTCTGCCCAATTGAAAATAAACGAGCGCAAGACACGAGGCACATGTGGCCGTGTTTTTATAGCTGGCACTTGAATTAGGCTGTGGCACTTTTTGTAGCAACAACAGTTGTTATCTGGGTAAGCAATGTCTACCAAAAAAAAATATGCAGAACATCCTCAGCTAAGCTGTCAACAAAGAGTACTTTGAAATAGCCTGTCCAAAGCCGTCCATCTCCAGCTCCGCAGGCAACAGTGTTCCGGTTATTTTTAGAAGGCACGAGTCTGTACTTCTTTTTAGCAGGTCACTCTGTGAACTGCCAATTCCTAGAATGATCGCGGCTGTTTGACCTTAGCACGCCGCTCGGCCCCAGCTTGGCCTGGGACTTTGCCTTCTGCATCTTATGCGGATGGGGGCAGAGTAAGACCTCGGGCTAATTGAATCTTTTCAGTCAGAGTGGCCGGTCGTAAATGTTTTCCGATCCAACGAGGATGCACATGCCTTGGCACAAGTCGTGAGGACTTTAAGGGGAGTGCTAATCAATTAATAACCCTCAAAAAGAAACTATGAACAACAGTTGAACAACTTACTACAAAACGGTGAAAGCGCAAACGAAAGCCTCTTTATCGATATTCTACGCCCACTGCAATTACTGATCGCAGTCCATATTCCAAAATAAGGATTTAACTTGCTGTTGTTTTGGTCTAATTTGTAGCCTTCCTGTGAATGTTGTTGTTAGTTTACACAAATACATATACGAGAGTCTGACGTAAAAATGCACATCCACTTCGAGGACAAAGTGGACGACTTATATGCTGGAGTCGCTTTACAGAGACGAAGGACCACTGACAGAAGAACAGTGGGCTTCCTCTCGCGCCCACGGGTGGCATTTAGACGGTCAATAAAACGCCACAGAGTGAGCATTTAGCAACCAGCGCGTTCAATACTAGCTGAATACATCTGATTTTTGTGATTTTATGTTTGGCTCTGAAGGTTTTAATCCCACTTTACCTAAACAGTAGATAGACCTCACAGCGCAGAAGGACTATGTGTGGCTGTTGAACTCAAAATGGAGTCAATATTCTCTGGCAGCCCAGGACCCTGACTGAAATCTCTGTTAGATCGCAGCTGGTAGTCAGGAATGGGGAGGCGGAGGG